TAACAAAAGCTCTTTGAGGAACAATTGAAGTGAAATTAATGAATTGTCTCAGAAACTTGGCTTTGTCATGCTAACTAATGCAGAGCCTATGATAAAACACATTTGGAACCTATGACATTATTTTTAAATAATAGGGTTCGAAATAAAAGATGAATGATAGTTTAATATGAAAATGTACCCACTTTTGTGCGTTGATTCCATCAATTGCTTGAATCATCCTTTCATTCAATTCTTCTTCAAATCTTTTCTTTTGTGACTTGGTTCTATATGAAAAAGGAAATATTATAGGTAAGAATATTATTTTTTTTGTAAGAATATTACTAGTAAAATAAATAAGCCTATCTTTTAGAGCTACATAATAGTTTACATCCTTATGAGGTACAGATGATACTTTGTTGCATATATGGACAATGATCAATCTGAGTATCTGGGGAATCCATCATCCTGAGTATTTATCATTTCTATGTGTTAGGAACATTTCAAATTCTTTCTTCTGACTACTTTGAATTACACAGTACATTGTTGCTAACTACAGTCATCCTACTCTGCTATCAAACATTAGAACTTATTTCTTTTATCCAACTAAAGGTTGGGCCCCCTGACCAATGTCTCCTTACCTACCCGTATCTTCCGTCCACACACTTTTCCTGGTGTCTGGTGTCTGTCATTCTACTCTCTACCTCCATGAGTTCAACTTCTTTGGCTCCCACATATGAGTGAGAACATGCCAAATCTGTCTTTCTGTGTCAGTAAGGCTATTATTCTATGATGTCAAAAGCCTTGTTTAATTCTGACAATCAAGTAGAAAAAGAAATGATAGTCTATGAGCAGGCTTTTCTCTGTTAACATCTAGACTCTCTTTGGATTGAGTGAATACCTGAAGTTTTTGGGATAGTAAAAATATTGCCTTATTCACCCACAGTGAAATTTACTGGCATTTACAAAGCAACACTGAAAGACATGTGCTTGGTGTTTGAGATAAAAGAACTTTCCCTGCTAAGAGATCTATTAGCTTTTGAATTGCTACCTTTATAAACTTTATTTTATGATAGAATATATTGGTTCTAGAAATTTCCCTGTAAAAATGTGGCTTGGTTGACAAAATAGTCATTGCTTTTTTGTGTTTTTCTCGGTTGATTTTCAAGAATTTGCAGAACTACAGTCTTATTTTAGGTATACCAAAGCTTGATTGTATGTATTTAAATGCCCCTCAGTTTTCAAAGCACTATTCACAGAAAACTCACTTTTGTTTGTAGATCATCTCAGTTTTAGAAGCAAGTAATCTTTAGCCATAATATAAGATGCTTTCTGAATAAATTGTGCCAAATAGTAAGAGCTTTTCAAGGCTATTTGACAATTCGCATGAGAATGATGTCAGGAGAAAACCAAAACAGTACCTATTCTTAGAAGTTAAACATCCACCGCAAAGGTCAAAAGCACAGCCTGCTGACCTGAACGAGGCTATGTCTGTATCTTGGTTTAGGCATGAATTCTGTGTGTTATGGTTGCTTAGATTAAAAATAAATAGAACATCTAATCTGGAATAAAAAAAAACACACTTTTCTGACTTCAGAATTGCCTCTACATATGGATAAGAATAGCATTAAATATGCAATGTCACATTTATCTGTAATTAAATCTCACAGAATGATCATTAATGAGATGCATGAGTTTTCCAATTCTATCATTCTATGTTTCTGAATTTGTGCCTTCAGGTCTTGTCTTCTTCAGACAGGCTGAGAGCAGTCATGGTTAAAAAAATTAAATGAATTGTATTAAGTGATCCGCCCATAGATATTGAGCCAACTGAATTAAGAGGTTTTAGTATCAAATTCCAAATTGTTTGAAAAAGGCAAATCAATTTTTATATTCCTTAAAAAAAAAAAAAGCAAGAAACCTTTTAACCACCAACTAGTATGGCTTGAACATTCTTATTTATAGCTGAAACCTGTAGGACCTTAGATCCTTCATTTAACTTTCATCAGTCCCGTATCTAGACTTGAGTTTCTTGACTTCAATTAAATGGCTTTCTCTTCTGCAAAATCTAAGAAGGAGTGGTGTAAATACGTTGAGGCTTACAGGAAAATGTAATTCTTTGATATTTTTGTCCAGTGCTAACAAGGTATTGCCTTTGTTAACCTGTTTTAGGATTTGCTTAGATGATGCCTGCAGAAAGCTCAGTGCTATAATGTGACACACGTAGTAGCCAATAAATGCATGCTTTGTGCATTATTTGAATCCACTAATTATCTGGACAATAATTCTTGACATACAGACACTTTTCTTGTCTCTGCAGTTTTGCACCCTCTGCTAAAATGGCACAGATGATAAGTCCCCTGGGGCTGATGATCTCCCCACCAGGAGTCTTAATTCACCTCCAGGACTCTCTCTCTCTGACTTCCAGCATCTCTCATCTTCCCGTCCTAGCACCTTCCCCTGGCCACCACCACTGGCCTTCTCACTGCTCTAGGACGCCAGTCCCTGTGTCCAACGCGTCTCCATTCTGTCTCCCAGGCTCCTTCCCCAGATTCATGCTACCACATTCCCTGGGCTGTTAGGTCTACGCAGGCACAGGAGGGGACACATGCCAAGAATGTGTGGGCCAGGCAGGAGGCTCAGCCAGGTATCATAAGGAAGTCCATGTTACAAACCCTGGAAGTGCCCAGGCAGCCTGGAGTAAGTCTGACTCAGAACTGGGGTTCTCTTCAGGAGGGCTTGAGGTCACCAAAGATCAACAACTACAGAGATAAATGGAATAGATATGGAAGAGGCCCTTAGTAAAGCAGGCAAGGCTGATGAGCTGTTAGGGATACCTGCTCTGGAGTCACAGAGCCTGGGCACAAATGCTGGCTTCATCTCCACCAGCCATGTGACTCTGGCATTCTCCTAATCATTTGTGCCTCAGTTTCTTCCCTTTTAAAATGATAATGGTAACACAGTCTATCTTGCAGTAATGCTATAGAGACCAAATTAGAGTTTTTATAGCCTAGCACAAATAAAAACAACAGCTTCTTATCATTGTCTTCCAGACAGCACTCATCACAGACGGCACTGCCCAATGCAATACTGGGGTTCCATGACACTACTTTTCCCATTGTAACTTCAATAAATAGAAACTTAAAGCAGAATTTCTGGAAGGGAGAGGCAGATAACAGAAGAGATAGTGAATAGGAAGTGAAAGGAAGTCCATGAAATTTCTGTGGTCAGTTGCTCACAGATGTGCTAGCATGTTATTGGCTATAGGCACCGTGCTTTCTCTGGGTATCCTATGGGCTCTCCTATAAAAGTTCTCTTTATTACAGTATATGCCACTTAAATATAATTCTTCAAAAGCTCAAGAACCAGATTATCTTCATAACATAAAGACTGTGAATGTTATATCGCAATGTTAAAATGTCAAATTTTGCACAAAGTCTAAATTAGAGTTTATCCCAAGAGTCACTTAGAAGGATACCGGGCTAATGTGCATGGTTGCCTTGTTTCCGCAGGTGACAGCCTGTGTTTCATTTTTACTTGGATACAATTCATTTTCTATAAAAAATAGTTCAGATCTCATATTTTTCCTTAGCTTCTATAAATCTATCAATAGCTCCAATAAACTGACCTCTTTGTGGAGAAAGGAAGGCTGGCTTAGTGTTTGGGACTATATTTTACATTGGTTATCTGAATGTCCCCATATTGATTTGATTACCTCCCACACCAATATTAAAGTAAAATTCTGAGCCCGAAAGATAGAAGAACATGGGGAGAAAAAGGGGTTAGTGGAGGTGATTTTACAGTGGCTGGTGACACGGCATGTGGAGACATTTGCGGGAAGCTTTTTTCTTTTTTTGAGCAGAGTGGGCTGCCCTTTATTTCAATAGAAATACACTGGAATTATCTTGCTTTTATCTTTAGAATTCAACAGAAAAGTATAATTTTTTTGTTTTCTTTTTCCTTGAGACACAGTTTCACTCTGTCGCCCAGGCTAGGGTGCAGCGGCGCGATCTTGGCTCACTGCAAACTCTGCCTCCTGTGTTCAAGTGATTCTCATGTCACAGCCTCCCTAGTAGCTGGGATTACAGGCACATGCCATCACACCTGGCTAATTGTTTGTCTTTTTAGCAGAGACAGGGTTTTGCCATGTTGGCTAGGGTGGTCTTAAACTCCTGACCTCAAGTGATCCACCCACCTCAGCCTCCCAAAGTGCTGGGATTACAGGCAGAAAAGTATAATTTTAAGCAACATACCCATTTTTAAGACAATTTAATTTTTTACCACACAACAATATTAACAAGAGCCACCTTAGGAAGCGTTTAACATTCTAAAATGAGTACCAGGTGGCTTCTCTCCCTCTTAATTCTCACAATAAGACCCCAGTGATTCTATTTTTAGAAGCTGAAAGCAATTTAATAGGGCTTTTCACAAGGAGCTGCACTTTCAGAAGAAGTAGCCTTTGAAATTACCATAATTGATGATAATTACTCTCAGAAATGAATAAAGAGCAATAAGCTTTTAAAAATCAGATAGTCAAAGGGATACAATACCTTAAGGTGCGATTTTGAAAATTATGCTGACCCATCGGTACATCCTATATTGAGAAAAAAAGGTTATTAATTGTCAAAAACATATTTCAAGAAGAATGTTGCAATGCTAATGAGGTAGAACATATTTCCTCTTTTATCATAAACGGTAACATTTAGCTAACAAATAATTCATTACCCATGTGGAGAAAAAGAGCTTAATCCTAAATATGAATCGAGGTGTAAACTTCAGTGCATCTCTGGAGTGCTGGTATAGTCTCTAAACTCTGGGTGCTGCAAGCATCAGGATTGCTTCTGGACCTCTAAGATTTACAGTCTGCTATTATCAGATCTGATTTCAAACAGTGGCCTGCCGGGGACCGGTCTCAGAGTTACCATCAGTAACTTACAACCATGTGAAAATGGACTTTGGTATCAGACAAATATTAGAAAATGCTTTAGAAAGAACAAAAACATAAAATCTATAGTCATCCCCATCACTGAATTGGCCTGTTGTGAAATCACAAACCATCAGACAAAAAAGAAGAAATCAGCAAAGGGGTGCTGGTAGTTCCCGAAAAAGAAATGGAAGAGAGACAGAATTTATCAGTGGAAAACCCACTGTCAAAAATTCATTAATAGGCTTTCAAGGAAAGATTCGCCTTTGCACATTTATGGTGGGAATGAAAATAAAAGTTGGAACACAACTGCTCCAGAGAAAGTTTTGTTTGCTGCTTTGATTTCCAAGGTTATATTAGGATATGGATTTAGCCTATAGAAAGGAAAGATTTTTTTTGAGAAAGTAATTGAGCTCCAAGTTTCATTCCATACAGTAATGTATTATTCAAGAGCTCTATCAATGTTGAATCAGGAGTGAATGGAGTTCTGCATAGGGGATTGGATAAAGCAATCACTTTCAGCAACGTCAGTTGTTTGGCTCTGGAATTTATAAGTGAAAACTCCAATGGGGTCTTTCTGAAAGTGAGTGAGACACATAGTTAAGTCAAAGTGGTTTGGGCTTAATGCATCACCAAAGCCTTGGGACTCTCTTAAAATATGCTATACTACTGCCAAGGCAATCCAAGCCTGGCTTTGAACCTGCAACAGGTGGGACCAGGTGGTTAAGAAAATAGAGTTCGCTCAAGAGGTCCTTTGATTTTTATAAACAACTTCCCGAAGTTGAGGCATTCAACGGTTCTAGCCGTATCTTGAAGAAGGCATCTTTATCAACACATAACACCAGGCTAAAGTCAGACTGAAACCATTCCTGGGTCCCTGGCTCAGATAATAAAAGAGACAGTCACCCTTAAGTCTTAGGACAATAAAGGCTGATGAGAAATCATCAACAACAACATACCTGGAAAAGCAGGCCTTTCCCCCCCACAGAAACACATGAAAAACAGCACAGGAAATCACATTCAAGTATTTATATATGATTCTTATTTCTTAGAAACCAACCAATCAACTGATAAGTTGCTGGTGTACAATAAATCTCAACAGAAAATGTAGTTATCAGACATAGCACTAACTAGCAAGACGGAGGCTAACTTATCCAAATCAGTGTTTTTCATGAGTGACAGGAGCATAGGCTTTCACTGGTTGGATACTGGAGCTCTAGGATGCAGTTTCTCTAACAGATCTAAATGCTGAAAGGCCCCAGCTGCCCCAGGCCTCCCTCCTTGGATTGTTCTCTTCTTGATGATTTTATCCAGTGCCACTGCTTCAAATATCATCTACAACCTGATGATGTTCACACGCATGCCTCTATCTTGGACCTGTCCCATGAGTTCTGGACGTGCAGAGCCAGCCATCTACGTCCCAGCGGCACTTAACTATGGATTAGAAGATGTCCAGCAGAAAAGCATTAATTTTCCATCTGAAATAACCTGATGTTCCCCTTGTATTGTTCATCTCAATCAATGGCATCATAATTGTTCCAGTTGTGGGGCCAAAAAGTCTGGATGTATCTCTGTTCCTAATGTTCATGGATATGCAACCCATTGCCAAGTCTTATTGGCTCTACTTTCACGTTAGCCCCTGTGTTTGCTTCTCATTGCTTCCATGGCTAACCTCTTAGCATAAGGGGGTATCATTCTTACTGGGGACCCCTGCACTCTTGCTACATTTTCCCAAAGCCTAAATAATACCATGACCATCCCTTGCTTAAGATTCTCCACGACTTCCAATTGCACACAGAATGCAATATAAGCTTTTGCCATGGTGCATCTCACTCCATGACCTCCCTTTGCTTGTCGTTCGTGATGCTTCAGCTACAGAAGCTTACTCTGTCTCCAGGGGACAACAAACTCACTTTCATCTTTGGGTCACTGACTTTATTCTTCAGCTACCTCCTCTTCCCAGTCACTCCTCTCTCTCTGAGACCCCCTCAGCTGACCTACCAGAGTGGGCCATCCCATTGACTCCGGATGCCATCACTCAATTTATCTCCCTTACAGCCCTCATCAGCACCTCACGTGATCTCATTCATTTATTTGTTTTTCTTTTTTTTTTTTTTTTTGAGACAAATTCTTCCTCTGTCTCTCAGGCTGGAGTGCAATGGCACAATCTCGACTGATTGCAATTCTCCACCTCCCAGGTTCAAGCAATTCTCCTGCCTCAGCCTCCCAAGTAGATGGGATTACAGGTACCCGCCTCCATGCCTGGCTAATTTTTGTATGTTAATAGAGACGGGGTTTCGCCATGTTAGCCAGGTTGGTCTTGAACTCCTGATCTCAGGTGATCCACCCCTCTTGGCCTCCTAGAGTGCTAGGATTACAGGTGTGAGCCACCACTCCTGGCCTCATTTATTTGTTTTTCTGTCTATGGTCTTTCTCTTGCTATTAAAATGCAAACACTAGGACTTGTGCTCTCTTACTGATTATTTGACAGGTCATGGTCTTCTGTCTGATAGTCACATTTATTTTTTAATTGGAAAAAGATGAAGAGAAGTTGGGAGAAGAAATATAACTAAACCAAAACATGAATGCTGAACCCCTGCCTGTTGGGTAAGGGAGTATCACTTGGAGACCTTGGAATATGTGGGGACCCAGGGCGACTGGAAAACTCCACTTTCACCTGACAACTAGCACGTTCCTTCTCATCAGACAATAAAATTATGTAATATTACATTTTTAAAAATTGTAACTGCATCCTTAGCACAGTTAATAGCATTATACATGAAATTTAACTCCCAGATAGTTTTAAAACCTAACAATCCTATGGGGATCACCCTAAGTACTCAGTTGTATTTACTCTTCCCTCCTCCTATGGGCCTTTCTATTTTCCATCTCCATTTCAGCCATCTTATTGCAGATGTCCCTGGTGTAAGGAGTTCAGTGCTTTCTCATATGCTGGAAGCTGGAGGGAAACACAGAATCATAACACAGTGTCCACTGCACTGCTGCCAACACAGGCTGGACATCTGGGCAATGAAGCAACGGGCTTGATGATACCACTCAAACTCCAAGGGCATCATGCCTTTGTCTTTTTATTAAAAACCTCAAGGCTTTCCACTTCATGATAGAATTTATTTTTAAAAACCTCAATTAAAAAATAGCTGTATTTAATTGCTACTATCAGTTGTAAATAACGCTGTCTTGGGTTATGAAGCTATAATGCAAAATCACACTAGGTTGAAACCCTTAGCAATGTGGGCATGGAACTCGCTCATACCCTGATGGTTGTTCATAAGGGCCTCTCTGAGAAGAAGGAGGCGGTAAGCTTGTCTCTTGCAGACAGGAGTTATTTTGGCAGGAGATGCCCAGCCTTTGGTTTTGGGAAGTTAGCTTTCCCCCAGCGCTCAGGCGTTGGAGGCAGGGGAGGGCATACCGTGGTGCTGATCTTGCCGTTCTCTGTGGTCATGCTGTCCCTGTGATGTAGGTGTGCAAAGGGCTTGGCTGCCCCCCAGGACTCCAAGTACCGGGTCATGCGGACCGAGGCCCTCATTTTGGCTCCATCGAGGGTGTGGCGAGGTCTGAAGAGATGCTGGGGGCTCCGTCGTTCCCCCTTGGGGTGAGAAACAAAGCATCACACCTGGCACAGCACAGGGACATACCCGATCCTTTCTGCATCAGCCTCATTGGACTAGGGTCATTCCTCCCGAAGTCCCTCCATTTGCCCTCTGTGGTTTCTGTCCTCATTCCTTCAGTGTTATTGGGGAACACATTATTTGATTTGAGGGATTTTTTTTTTTCAGCTAGCAAAACACACGTCATTGAGACTTAGAAAACATAAGGACACGTTAATGGGCATGTTTTATTAAGTAAGTTCGTAAAGCAGAATGTGCTGATCTGTTTAGCTTGTTTTTGGTGGTTGTGTTTTTTTAGAGTGATAGGTGTAGGGGATTTGGGGCTATTTCTAATGCTAAATAGCCCCAAACATCGTGTTTTGGTGTTCTTTACCTGAACATAATGTTCTCTGTACGTGTATTTTTTTGAACTCCCCCCCTTCAGCCATCATCCCCCAGTCCCTGCTGTTTGCCACACATCTGCCTCTAGATTGATCATCAAGCTAGCTGAAAGTTTGTCTCCAAAGGTGAAAGTAGGGCTTCCGAGATGCTACCATGAGTAAATGTCCATAAAGTTGATCTTGTTGATTTTATGATATTGGTTTTCATGGTTCAAAGGTCTTTCTTGCTGATATTTGCACCATTCACCAGCTGTGTAATTTGGGAAGAGTTACAGGACTCCTCAAAGCTTCAGATTCTTAATCTGTAAATATTATTAATATCCATTTGGCAGGAATTTGAGGAGGTTTAAAAGAAATGAGAACTTTAAACCCCCTGATCTGGCCTAAATGTGGTGTGAATGAAATAAGAGATAGTTCCTCACTGTTTGTATGGGGTGGATCATCTTCCAGGCAGCAAACGTTTTTATGTTGCGGAAGGTAAATATGCTTGTACATACACGCAATCTCACAAGCATGTCTATGTAGTATTTATTTGTTAATCTTTCAAATATTTTTTCTCTCCCTTTTTCCTATATGCTCATTCAATTTTACTTAGATTTTCACCTTCTAAAGCCCTAAGCAAATTATTTTCTCTTTATTTAATTTCCCAACTGACAGGTATCAACAGCTGTGCCCACTGACAGGCTTCCAGATGCAACATCTGCCAAGGGATACACTGACTAACAGACACGACGGCTGAACTAGCATCCTGCATCAACACCCTCATCCTACAGACAAGCAATGCATTTCAACTGTTCACTGAATAAGTATTTGAATTCATGATTACAAAGCATCTTCTGTAATTAAACCACTATATGCATTTAAAATCATTTGGGGGACAAAAAGTAGCAAAGAATGGTATTGGTTATTGACTAAAAACATGTATGAATATAAATAATTTGCTCCTCCTCCCTTTTCATCATAGACCCTTGACAATGATACTGACCTTGGGGTTGATTACAAAGTAGGTTTTCACCAGGTGTTGTTTTAAATATGGGTCCCTAATGTCACCATCTCCCTCCTCCACTTTATAAGCGCCATTCAAGTGCTCCAGGGTGACGGAAGAAATGTGAACACGTCTGAAATTGCATTTTAAAACCACAGTCAAGACATAAAAGGATAAATGTGAAGAAAGATGTTCTATTTGTTTGTGATTTCCGAAATACTGTATCCACCAAATGAATGAAAGTCTACATGTTCTTGGGAGCACTGACCGCAATTAAAGTTTATATTCTGTTGGCCACTGCTTTGCAAAGATGCTTTTAGAGGTTGTGAGCTACTAATTTTGGAGTTGCTCTGCACTCACAGAAACCTGCATGGTGGGTGTGGTGAATTACAGCAAATGCAACTTGATTACCTTGAATTTTTGTGAGAATATCTTTTGAAATGTATGTCAAGCACATTTCAGGAAGCATGCTAATCTGTATAGTAGTGTAGATTTTCTCAGTGCTTGCTCTCATGCTTCTTTCAGTCATAGCCCTGGATAAGGATTCTCTTGACTGAAATACGTTATTCTGCCCAGAGAAGGATTCTGTCCTTACTAATTTTAATGTACTGGTTTTAGAGGTCAACAGTTTTAGACAGATGCCATATCTGGACTTTATTGTAAAACATCTTTAAATCAGGCCTCTATTCATGAATTTGCAAATAAGTAAAAGTGTGTATTTTACCGTCTGATATTCAGTCTTTGAACCATGGACAAGAGGGGTCACAGTGTAGGGACTTGAGAGTTCATGTTTATCTGCTTAACATGAGGGGCCATTCGGTGTGAGTAACATGATACCAACAGAGGCAACAGAAGTCATCAAAAACTGAGCACTCCGTCGTTAGCCTGATGACCTGTCATTCCTAACCACGCTGCCTGCCTGAAGAAAGAAATCAACGCTGCGTCTTACCCAGGGACCCCTCCAGCTTCCATGTGGTTGGCCAAGGTCACGTCATGGGACCACACATCATACTGCCACTTCTGCAGACCAATCACGCCGCACAGGACATTCCCAGAATGCACACCTACGCGCATGTTGATATCAACTCCAGTAGCATCCCTCACTTTCCTGAAGAGGAGGGAAGTGAGATCATGATCAAGTAACATCCACTGCTTCCTTTGACTCTTGGTCAATTTTCCCAGCATTTTATTATTTGGAATTTCTCAGACTGTTGGAAATGACCATGAACCCTCCTGTGGCAAGAGACCACTTCTCTGAGCTAAGAGAAAGGGCTTTTCCTTCCAGTCACTCCAGATTAGACCTATGTTCTTGCTATGGAAGCCAGATCAGGCCAGACTAGAGTGATGACAAAACATTTTGGCTATCACTTTTACTTTTGCAAAGAATTGTATCAAACACCTACAATGTGCTGGCACGTCTGCATTTCCATACTAGAATCACGTGACATTGCCTTGTAATGTAAGAAATAGTCTTAAGCACTATTTGTAACGTTAGCATTTAGCACAATGTACATCTCCAATCAATATCTTCTACTAATAAGTGAAGAATATAGCTCATTTGTGAACTTAATAATGACTTTGGCCTAAATGAGCATTTTTAGAAAAATAATCATGTCATTAAGTCTTTTCAGTTGTGCACATTCTTTAACGAAAAGAGAAAAAATACCTTTTAGGACCCTATCACCAACTCATTAACAGAGAAAAGGGATAAACTTCATGGAAGAAACAAATGGAAAGGCTTGGTAATGCTTATTTACTCTTGCTATCTGAGTACATTAAGGTAGTATTGCAAAAGAAGTATATAGGAAGATGTTCCTAGTTACATCAAGAGAATTACCCCAAGAGGCAATGTGGAGGGCAGCAATGATGCCGACTGCAGTACAATAAAAGGAAGACACTATCACTTGTGAATTGTAGTGAAATGAGTCATCACCATCTCAAAATGGCATAGGCATGTATGTCATGCTTAAATGATATAATGATACCGTTTTAGCATGCTAAAAATGATAAAAAGAAATGGACCCACAATGTAAAAATAAATCACAGTCTGGTATTTTCAGGACATGGCTCATGGGTATGTGTGTTCATTGTGTACATCTGTATGTAATTTTCTGTCATCACTGTACCCTCTCCTACCGTGTGCATTCAGTTAATGTAATCAGTTGCTTGCTTCTTTCAAAGTGCTTTGAAGGTCTTGAACTCATGTGTGAGCATCTTTATCCACTATTCCAATTGCATGTTCTCCATCACATATTCTCTCTTATTTGCTCTGTACCCCCTGAGAATAAGTTTTAGTGATATTGGAGTAAAGCTGTCTGGGTAAGGAGTAGGCTTAGCCGACCTATGAATAATGCGCTTTAGTCTAGTTCTTTATTCTAAATCTGGATTGCCAGTATTGTGTATTTAAACCAAGTCTGTGAATATCTGCTTTTATTGGCTACAGAGCAACAAGTTTTCATGTAAGATCTTCATACCAAAGTAGGAAGTAAAAATAGCTTAGAAAGCCCTGTCAGGTGTTTTGTGCAGCTGACAGAGGTAAGGTTACATCACCTCAAAAAGAAAGATATGCCTGTCAGTTATCCTAAAAATAAATTGTTTGGAAAGTACAATGCACCACACTTGTCAATGTGTAGAAGTCTACTATTTGATAAACCGTCAAAATTCAAGATGTGTTTGACCCTTAGTCGTTTTTACTCTCTGGTTCTGAGTATGCCTATTTTATTAGCCTATCTACCTTGTTTATCTTTTTCTTCACCTTTTAACAAGTATGACATAGGAAAGTCAATTTTTTAGAATTTATGGATCAGTCTAATCTACTCTTATTCATCATGGAATATGTAAATGTATTGAAAACTGTTTTTCAGGAGAGAAATATGGGTTGAGGGGAAGGAAAAGTGGTTCTACTTATGTTCCAAAATCCTCATCAGAGAACATCTGATGTTCTCAGGTATGGAAAATATTTTTTAGTTGACTGAGAATGCAGGTTTAACAGAAAAGATAAAGAAGGGGCATAATGATTGCCGGTTTTCCAGACTGGATTTTCTTCTCACAACTGTTAATGTTCTCAGAGCTGATGAAGGACCACCTCTGTGTATAGACTTGTAGCTTTAAACCTTGCATTGGTAACAAAATGATCGACTTTAATCCAGGTAGAATTCAAGATGGCTATACTTCAGTTGTATGATAAAATCAATGGTTCACATGACTGTGGCATCTAAAAATGTTTTTATATCATCTCTCTGCCACTAAATTGACTTGAATTTTGGAAAAAAAAAGTTGGTGTTGATATGTTTATGTGTGTGTGTATATATGTATTTATAAACAAATGTGTGTGAGTAACAAGTGAGTTTCATAGTCTTCCCCTATGCATGGGTATTCCACACACAAATGGCTGAGTTATTGTCATAAAACAATTTACAATAAAAAAGTTGCATTCTTAAAAAATAATTTAGAAAGATATTTTGCTTCCCGTTTCCTTTCTTTTTTTTCTCTCTCTCTTCCCTTCTTGTTTTTGCAAAAATAAAAAACCCAGCTACTCATTTGGCTCTATGCAATCATCCAAACCTTTTCTTCCTGCCCCATAAAATGAGTTAGAGCATCAACAGGACAAGGAGATCCATCCCCACCCCTCTGCCCTGCATCTGCAGGCTGTGGCTGTGTGAGCACCAGGGCATCCCCTCCTCTGGACTTTGCTTATAATAACTCCTCTTCCTGTTCCCCACACCCCCAAGCCTCCCTTTGGTGTCAAGTGGCCAGCTGGCATTGTCCTTCAGACTCAGGCGCAGCCCCATACGGAAAGGATGTTTTGTCCCCTCTAGGCTGGTCCAGGCAGCCCCACTGCTTCTGTCCTCTAACTGCCCTGAGGACAATTAGCACTCCCTTTCCGTCTTCATCTCTGCCCTCAGCAGAAATTTAACTTGGGTGGACACAACCTCCTCTAAATGGGTTGTTTACCTCTCAAAGGGTTCAAGGCCCAATGCAACAGCACCACTTCATACAAGTTTACTAATGGACCAAGGTTATTTTTGAAAAATGTACTGTGCTTCGTCTTTGAGCAATGATGATCCTAAAAAATCTGTTAGAGACTCATAACTGTTCTTAACCTTTTATGTTGTTGAGAGGGCATTTCCAACCACGTGGCATTTGTTTGCCAAAATAGGCCAGGAGAGAGCCAAGAAAGGATAAAAAGGGAGGAGAAAGGAGTCTCAGTTTGGCCATTTGACAGAATTGATTCTAAAACATTAAAATCATCCCCACGTTGTCTTTTTTTAAAAAAATGAGTTGACCATGGTTTCAGACGAATTGACTGGCCACATGTTTTGTTGCATGTATATGCAATTTACATGATCTATAGAAAAATGCTGAAGTCATTGTTTAAAGCTTGCAATAGTAGTAGGTAAACATTACAGTTTAAGAGAAGCCTTAATCTATTTTAAAATCAAGGTCCTGAATGTTACTTGATTAAAAATAATTTACATGTTCGTGACAGAAAACAGAAATGCTTCTAAGCATTGGAAATGTTCCAAAGCTGCGGCTGAAGTGCCTTTGCAGCAGTGCTGGGGCTAGCAGAGAATGGGGTGCTGCTACGCATGCAGTGTGAACACAGGGAAGAGCAGGCAGCCGTCTGGGACTCATTGCTGCTGGTTCCCATGAAACCGAGACCATTCGGCAAAAACCCAAGTGCCAGGTGTGCACGTACCACCCGCATGCTTAAAACATGAAAATTCCTGTCTGGTATCCAACCCACCTCATAGCTCAGTGAATGTGAATGCAAATGCACGTCCTTGCATGGGAGAGAGGATGAAAGTGGACAAACAACTCCTGAAACTGCTGAGATGCCCTCTCTGTTGCTGCTTTTTGTGAGGGTGTCACAAAACTTTTTTTTTTTTGAGACAGAATCTTGCTCTCCTGCCTAGTTTGGAGTGCAGTGGTGTGATCTCAGCTCACTGCAACCTCCACCTCCTGGGTTCAAGTGAGTCTCCTGCCTCAGCCTCCTGCGTAGCTAAAATTATAGGTGTGTGCCACCATGCACAGCTAATTTTTGTATTTTCAGTAGAAACGGGGTTTCATCATGTTGGCCAGGCTGGTCTCAAACTCTTGACATCAGGTGATCTGTCCGCCCTGGCCTCTCAAAGTGCTGGGATTATAGGCATGAGCCACCACGCCCAGCCCAAAACATTTTTATTGATCACCTTGTCTACCATACATGAAACAAACAGAGGAAGAATGTGGGATCCTTTGGTCCACAGGTGGCAGGTAACAGGGATGTAAAGCCATTGCCTAACTTGAGGACTGAGTTGAGGGGTCAGCAAGAATTGGGAGAGGTCCTCAAACCTGTTGATATTACTTAGATTCTGTACACATAAGATATTACTGATGAATCAATGATGAAAAAATAAATAAAATATTCCACCTACAGGGGAATGTTATGCTGTCTTCAAAAGTAATGCAGTGCTGACACATGCCACCACAGAAATTAACCTTGACAACACTAGGCTGAATGACAGAAGCCAAACACAAAAGGACAGATATATGATGCCACTTACATGAAATATCCAGAATAGGAAAAATCGTAGAGACAGAAAGTAGACTAGAGGTGACCAGGGGCTGGGGAAGAGGTAATGGGGAGTTACTGCTTCATGGGTACAGAGTTTCTGTTTGGGGTGATGAAAGGTTCTGGAAGTTGACAGTGGTGATGGTTACCCAACATTTTGAAAATACTCAACATCACTGCACATAATTTTACATTTTTATGTATACTGTATCACTGTATATTTTTATGCATCATTGTAAATTTTTATATACACATGAAATGACTCAAAGGGTAAGATTTATAGTATACATATTTTATCACAGTAAAAATTATAATAGTATTTTTGATGCACTGGTGATAGTCCAATGAATGTAATGTAAGGATTATTTCTCCTAAGAGACCTTCAAGACACTGGAGTAACTTAAACATTATGGAACTGGAACATGGTTGATTCAAAAGCAGAAACAAGGCTTTAGTAAATGGGTGGATTTCTTAATCCAGTGTGTTATTAATGCACATAATTTTGCCCTTCATAAGACTCTTCCACAACTACTTGAAAAGGAAATCAAGAAAAACACTTTCCTCCATAGAATTCATTTCGCCTTTTGTTTAAAACCAACATTGAGGCTGTCACCAGAGGCAGGTTACAAATTTAAAAAATACGACTAGTTCCACTGATTGGATTCACTTACATCTAGATTCACAGACTTATAGGTAGTTATTTACTTTTGAAAAAAAGTTTAAAAATATTTTTCATGTATCAGAGAATATACATGATTGACTTATGGGAAGACACAATTGTGGCTATTTCTCACCTGATGCATTTTGTGTAGGAAACTGGGTTCACACTAACCACTCTTCCCATAGCAACTCTCTCATCGACTTCATTTACCTCCCATTCCTGATCTGCCTGACAAAATCATGCAGGAGTCTGCTACTGAGCTAGTGAACTTGGAACATGCAGGTGTCTCCATTTCATTGGCTGAGGTGGTCTCTGTGTGTGTAGGGGGGGTAGGGGTGGAGGCGGCAGGCATTAATCTTCCCAAGACCATTCTGGGAAAGCCACCTGTTAACATTTTAGTCACTTCAGCATGTTACCAACACAGTGACAACAGGACATGTTGTCTTCTCACATAAAACCCTTTCTACTTTAATCCCGACACAGGGAATGAGAATATCAAGCTCATAATTCCAACTCTGTCCAGATTTTTTTAAAAAATGTTGAGGATAAGGTCAAATTATTTGACCAAAATGGACAATCAAAAACCCAATAAGGTACAATATTCCAATCATGCAGTCAGCAAACAACAGGCTTTATTATTTATAAGAATATTCTGGCTTCTACAAAGGGCATTACTAAATAAGGTACTGCTGCCGGGTGTGGTGGCTCAAGCCTATAATCCCAGCACTTTGGGAGGCCCAGGAAAGCAGATCATGAGGTCAGGAGTCTAAGACCAGCCTCACCAATATGGTGAAACCCAGTCTCTATCAAAAACACAAAACTAGCTGGGCACAGTGGCACACACCAGTAGTCCCAGCTACTCAGGAGGCTTAGGCAAGAGAATCGCTTGAACCTAGGAGAGGTGGAGGTTGCAGTGAGCTGAGAATGCACTACTGCACTCCAGCCTGGGCAATAGAGAGAGACTCTGTCTCAAAAAA